ACCAACCATCCAGACCCAGCTCGGCGATGCTATCAGCATCATTGCCGATTCAGATTTCTGGGAGCGCTGGCAAACACTGACCCAGGAGCTTGTCGAGAGATTTTCCCCCGTCGATCCCAAGGTCAACATCGGTGTCCTCGAAGTCGCCCACTCCATTTTCGTCCGCTGGCGTCCTCTCTTCAGAACCGACGAGCTATACACCGAGATCAACCATGTCATTAGCACGTTTGCGCAGCCTTTCGTCCAACTGCTGGTCCAGACCGATGAGCAGATCACTAAGAACGCCCAGAACAAGGATGCCCTCCAGAGCTGGTTCGAGTCTCTGAGCCTCATGATCAAGATCTTCTACGACCTGTCGTCCCACGACATGCCTCCGATTTTCGAGGAACACCTGGCTTCCATCTCCGAACTACTGCACAAGTACCTCACATACACGAACCCGCTTCTGGAGACCGACGACGATACCGAAGTTAGTGTCATCGACACCGTCAAGGCCGATATCTGCGAGGCTTTGGAGCTTTACACCCTCAAGTACGATGAGGACTTTGGCAAATACACGGAGCCCTTCATCACCAATGCCTGGAATCTTCTCTCCAGCACAGGATCCGAGACTAAGTACGACCTGTTGGTCAGCAAGGCTTTGCACTTCCTGACTGCTGTCGCCGGCACTTCGCAACACTCGGGTGTATTTGCGGACGAGAACGTCCTGGGCCAGGTAGTCGAAAAGGTTATCCTGCCCAACGTTGCCCTGCGCGAGTCTGATTTGGAGCTGTTCGAGGATGAGCCTATCGAGTACATCCGCAGGGATCTGGAGGGTTCAGACACCGACTCCAGACGCCGGTCCGCAACCGATTTCTTGAGAAGACTCCAGGAGAAGTACGAGCAACTCGTCACCGGTGTTGTCTACAAGTATATCAACCACTACTTGGAGCAGGGCAAATCCGACTGGAAGGCGAAGGACACAGCGGTGTACCTCTTCATCTCCATCGCCGCCAAGGGTTCTGTTACCGCCGCTCAAGGTGTCAAGACGGTCAACTCATTGGTCAACGTTGTCGACTTTTTCGAACAGCACATTGCTGCGGATCTGATGGCCAGTGGAGGTGTTGAGCCCATCTCCAAGGTCGACGCTATCAAGTACCTGCACACATTCCGTAGCCAACTGACAAAAGAGCAATGGAAGCTGGCGTTCCCTCCCCTCATTCAGAACCTGGCGTCGGACAACTACGTGGTCTACTCGTATGCCGCGATTGCAGTCGAGCGTTTGCTGTTCCTGTCGGACGACTCCGGCAAGGTCATGTTCCCCCGCGAAGACATTCAGCCGTTCGCCAAGGACTTGCTTGAGCACCTGTTCAAGTTGATTGAGAAGGAGAGGACCCCTGCTAAGCTCCAGGAGAACGAGTTCTTGATGAGATGTGTCATGAGAATTCTCATTGTCCTGAAGGACGGTGCCGCGCCGCTGGTTGAGGTTGTTCTGACACACTTGGTTGCCATCACAAACATGATCAAGCAGAACCCCAGTAACCCGCGCTTCTACTACTACCACTTCGAGGCCCTTGGCGCCCTCGTCAGATATACCTCGTCCACCCACGCTGCCCTTTTCAACCAGAAGCTTTGGGAGCCGTTCAACCAGATCCTGGTTGAGGACGTTACTGGTAGGTCAATTAGTGACACGAAATGACTTTGGATTTTTGGCTGACGATGGCACAGAGTTCCTGCAGTACATTTTCCAGATTCTGGCGCAGCTCTTGGAGTCAAGCCCCGCCGATGCAGTGTCCGACAACTACAAGGCTTTCCTGTCTCCGTTGCTCGAGCCGGCCCTGTGGGACACCAAGGGCAACGTCCCGGCTTGCACCAGACTTCTCTCCTCTATCATCCCGGCAACTGCTCCTTTTATCGTCTCTGAGAACAAGCTGGAGCAAATTCTCGGTATCTTCCAGCGCCTCCTCGCTGTCAAGAAGTACCAGTTGTACGCTTTTGACATCTTGGAGGCAGTCGTGAAGTCATTCGAGCCGTATGTCCATTCCTTGCCAACAGACTCTATAAATGTTTTGTGCTAACTAGACTCAGTGCGGTCACTGATCAGTACTTCGGTACCATCCTGAATTTGCTCTTCGCCAAGCTGCAGGGCAACCCGCCGGATTCGCTGAAGCTTCGCTTCGCTCGATTCTTCCACCTCGTGGCATCCCGGGTCGAGGCTGGTTTCGGAGCTGACTACTTCATGAAGCACTCCGAGAAGATCCAGGAGGGCATCTTCGCCAAGGTCTACCCTCCGTTCGTCTTGGCTGAGACGGAAAAGCTCGCACGACCTGTCGACCGTAAGCTCGCAGTAGTCAGTCTTACCAAGACTCTCTGCGAGTCGCAGGCCTTTGCGCAAAAGTTCGCCAAGGGTTGGGCCAACACGTGCAAGATCCTTCTTGCTCTTTTGGTCAATCCTCCCGTGGTATCGGCTGGTTTGGGTGATGAGCTCATCAACGAAGCCGACGTTGATGATATCGGCTTTGGCCTGTCATACACGGCTCTCAACACGTGCCGGCCGATTGCGCGTGACGATTACCCAGAGGTCACCGCGGTGGCTCCCTGGGTCAGCGCGTACATTAGCTCCGCAAACCAGCGTCACAACGGAGCGATCGTCAACTTTGTCAACACACGTCTCACACCGGAGCAGCAGCAAGCACTGCAACAGTACTTGCAATAGGAGGTGCTACCAAGCGGTGAAGTGGGGCTGCCGGACAATTATGCGTGGTCCACGGCACATGGCGGATGGCGGAGGCTCCAATAGGAGCGATATTGAATGATTGTGGATGATACAAAAAGACGCTGGGAAGAATGCGTCAAGAAGACAGATAGGAAGATGGGATGGGAAGGGAAGGATTCACCCAGACCGGGACACGGCCAGGCGCATGCGGTGGAGGAAATATCATGAGCACACTCGATTCAGGCTGCTGGATGATTAGCATTGGGTGACGAGCGTTGTCATCCCCCTTTTTCGAGTATCGAGGACTAGAAAAGCAGAAAAGCATTTTCCGTTTCTAATGCCTCTCTAGCTGGCCATAATTTGTCTCGTGTTTGCGATGTCACTCACATGTCTTTACTAATCCACTTCAAGTGGCTGGAGGTTGTTCTAACGACAGGAGACGGATACAACCAACGCATGCAGGGTCATGGAAGTTCATTCTTCATGAGTGTCCAGAACCGGCGCCGACCGCCACACGTTCCGCAGGTCCACACCGCTCCGGGCTCGATCGTCCCGGCCGGGGGCCTGCCTTCAGTCTTCAGAAACAGACAACCCCCCCTCCCCGGTCCGATCCAGGGCAAGTTTTACGACTTACGTACCCCCCAGTGCGCCCCCATCATTCTCGTGACTCCCGGGCGGTGCCGTATTGCTGCAATCTGCCATTATTCCCGGATGTGGAGAAGGAAGAATCACCACCCTTGCCGCGTCGTAGTAGACGGTGGGTGTACGGTCACGGTGGGTGAAATGTCTTGGGTGTCGTGACAATGTCGCAACTCCCGAGGAAACCAAATCTTCCCCAGTTTACCTTACCTTGTGCAGTGAAGCCCAGGCCAGCGTGCGGCCGACTCGTCTTTCAGATACACAGGCTGGCTCCTTGTTCGTCATCGGCATTGCCGGTTTGGTCGTTGAACTCTGTTAAACACGAGGTTCATTCTGCTATAATCTGGCAGTACTCCGTACCGTATCCCTTCTAGAAGGCGGGTGTAGGCTCCACAAGTAACGGAAGATCTAGACGTTCCAGAAGAAAAAAGGGGCCCGGGAGCGGCAGAAGACGCAAAGAAAGAAAAAGCTCGGGCGCGCCTGGGATCCGTTTGTTTGCCTCATGTGCCTTGTAATTTTTGTTGGCAGGCAGACTTGGTAAGTTCGTACTCTGTAGTTGTGGAGAAACCTACCTGGATGATGAGAAGGAAAGAATTAGTTCTTCAACGACTTGCAAGGCCATTTTCACCGATATTGACCCCTTCCATCCCGCCCCTGGCCCTAGTCCTAGGCGACGACTCCTGGTCTGCCGCCTGCGATACCACGGGCCAGCAAATGGGGTGGTGGTGGCGACTGGGAGGATACTGCTTTCCCTGATTTTTTTTCTGCCTTCTTCTCTTCTTCGGAAGCAAGGTCTCAGAGACCGAGAGTCAGTCAGTCAGATGCCTGTAAAGGAGGTTTTCGTCTCGACTAGGGCGTGGAACTCCACGTACCTTTTTTCTTCCCTTCCAGACCCTCTCCGAAGTGGGGGGGGGGGTTGCCGAGCCCGTTGAGGAAATACCGGGGTGTCTCGATCCACTGATTGTGTTTGCCGGGGGAGGGAGTGCTCGCCCGGCAGAGTCCAGACGAACGCCAATGAAAAAGACCCTGTTTTTCTTGTCATGACGATATGGGACCCTTGGGTGGACGAGGTTTTTCTGGTGCTGTGGCACTGTGGACACTGGGACAACCGCAAACATGGTGGGAATAAGGAAGGCGACGACGCCGATCTCGCGGGAATCGCCCGTCGTTTTCGCGGGCCAGAAAATGAGATGAACGGTGCCACAATGGGCGGAGACGCCATCACTGTCAGAACCGTCAGTGAGGCGGTTTGACCGCTGCTTCAATCTCCCTTCAGTGGGTGACGACTGGGTGTTGTTGACTCGCTGTGGGGGATAAGAGTTTTTCATCTTGGTGAGACGCCAGGTGACCAGCGACGCCTGAGGGCTCATCCTGCGTAAGGGGAATAAGTTATGAAATGTTTGAAATGCTTTTCATAGATTGTTATATCGTCCACTCTCGTCAACTTTGTACTACAACATTTCTATATGTCCATTTGAACGTAAGTTGCGTTGAGAAATGAAAGTCAGGAACTCGTAGATAGCGTCCTGCAAGATATGTCATGTCCGCCTTGTCTGAAACCGGACAATAACACTTGCCATATACATAAGAAAGGGCAGGCAACGTGGTATAACCCACGTGCTGTCTAGTGCCTTGATGTACCGACGCGAGTGTGTCAACTCTGCCGGGCCTCGAGTCTCTGACATCGAGGTGCTGCTTCCTTCGATAAATGCCCCCCTACTCAGAAATGATGCTTTGAACCTCCAATTAGGAAAATAACGCGGAATAAATAAGAACGAATATCAAACGCCAGGTCCGTGTTCTGTGAACCCCGATCATAAGTCGTTATTAGATGCAAACAATGGTATCGTCAGATCAAAAATCGTACAACATATTTCAAACTATGCTGTGGCGTGAGTTGGGTATAAGTTTGAGCTGTAGGTTGTGGGTGGTTTTTGGAGGAAGAATAATGATGTGGGTTGGATCCGGCCGTAGTTAACAAGAGGGAAGAGGGCAATCATGGCGACTGGCAGGCGGTAGTGAATAGAATCAAATCATGCCGCCCTCGACGAATCCGATGCTGTTTCGCCATCCGCAGCGCCGTTCTTGTTCCTCTCTCTCGAGGTCTCGAGGTCGTGGAGGAACGCCCCTAGCGTTCAAAGTACCTTTGGGTACCTGAGATGGATTTGGGTCGAACTCGCTGCTGCCGCAACTGCTCCCGCCGCTGGTGTTGGTCTGGACGAGAAGTAAGCTGCTGGTGCTCGAGAGACGCTTGGTGAACTCGCTGAAGCTGAGTCGCTTGGCGCTGGAGCTGGACGCCCGCTTTTCCCCGTTGGTTCGGAAGTTGGCATCATCGGATGTCTTACCAGATGAAGAGGTTGGCACATCGAGCCTCTCTTGGCCCATGGGCTGAGTTTGGCTGTACGTCCTTTGCGTCACACCCGGCCGCATCTTGGAATGCGCCGTGTGTGGTCGCGCAGGAGCCTGCAGGGGAACGCTGAAGTTGGCAGGCGGGCTCCTCATCACGGGTGAGCGAGGTGACATGGCTTCCTCTTGGCGGCTGGCGAGATATTCGATGGCCCGTTGGGCATTGGGCGCAATCAAGGTCTGGCGATTGCCACTGGCATCCGCCTCGTGCGCATATTCATCGTGCTCGTCGTCGTCTTCATCTTCCTCATCGTCATCAGCCTCCGCTTCGGATGAGTCTTCATCGACATCGAATGCACTCAGCATCGCAATCTTCTCGGCGTGTGCCTCTTTCACCTGTTGGCGCATCTTCTCGTCGGCTTCCCGCATCAATGCGTCGAACCGAGCCAGCGAAGTGAGCTTCTCTTCACCCGGCGTCTCGAGTTCGGAACCAGGGATGCAGCGCAATTGGAAAGCTCGATCCAGAATCGTCTCTCGCTGGTTCGGTGGTGAACTAGAATCAGCACCCGGGAAAGGTTGAGCACCTCCTGAGCTGACGCTGCCTCGGCCGCGGATCGGTGAGCTGATGGTAGACGAACGTCCCTGTGCCGCTGTCCATCCCTCGATGAGTTCGCTTCGTTGGTAATCGCTCATAGACATCGTTGTGACTGGCGAGGGGATGTCGCTCGGGAGAACCGTAGTATATTTGTTGGGATCCGGGATGGTGAATCCCATATGAGGAGGATGGGTCGTACTTGTTGGTGATGAGACATCACTGCGCTTAGAACGCAGACTTGGGGAATCGGAGCTGAATGTTATGGGACGGTCTCGGCTCGAATATGTTTGCGTCGAGTTCTTATGTTGCAGGGTGCCGCGAGGGTTAGGGTTCCCACTTGGAGGTCGGGGGAAGTAGTCAACATCTCGGGAACGCTGCTGAGCGAAGGGGTTGGTGAAGGATGGAGACGCCGGGCTTTCGGGGCTCATGGGAAGTTTCCTCGAAATGATGAAGCGGGCCCATTCGTGCAGACTAATGTGATGGTCGTCGGGAGGGGTTCGAAACCAGAGTGTGGTCGCGGTAGACTCTTTGCTCGAGATGAGGCCAGCTGCCCTACTGGAACGACGCTTCTTTTCCTTGTCGTTGATGGTGATGACGAGGGTGGGCAGAACGGGACCCTGCTTGCGATGGGCAAGCATTTGCACCTGGCAGTCTATGACAGAGCTGACGGGGTATTGGTAGGAGGGCTCCCAGTCGTCCTGCAAGTTCAGGTGGCTTAGGTTTGGCCCAGAGAACTCCGTCATGTTGAGCCTTACCTTTGACTTGAAAATGGAGATGTAGTAGTCGTCGTTGCCAGGGGTCCGCGGCTGGGATCTGGTACCGGTCCCGTTTGAGCGGGTTGAGGCGGCATTTTGAGGGAAGGTCGGGCTGGTGACGGCTTCTCTGTAGACACTGCGGCCTCCCACAACAACATATCGTGGCTAGAAGAAGCAAAATGTCAGAGATAGAAGCTTTGGGGCGGCAATGCAGCAGAGGGTAGGAAAGCAGTTCCTTACCTTCCAGATGGCGCGACCCAAGATCTGGCCCCGATCAGGGGGTATCAAGAGAACTCCCTCGCAAGATTCCATGGCTGCTGGAAAAGGCTGAGGTAAGAGTTATCACTAATGAGGCGTATCCAGGCACCGTCGTGACTCCAAAGAGGAACTCGAAAGGTATCCAAGGTATCAGGTAGAGGATTAAAAAAGCATGCTTGGAGTTGAATGCGGGCGTCTGCGGTGGAGGACTTGATGCAGTCTAACGAGGGTTGGCGACGGTTGTGCTGTGCATGCGGCAGAAGAAAGGTCGGATCGATGACAGACAGGTTTACAGGGTCGAGATGGGGATTCGGTATCTCGGGTCTGCACAAAGGGACCAGTGTGTTGTTCCCATGGATGTCTCTGGACCCAGCGCCCCTGACCTGCGCGAGAATAAACAACGGTTTGCGTTGAAACAGAGATTGGGTGACTTGGAAGAGGAAGAAGAAGAAATGAGGCGCGATGGCGGAGGAAAGTAGAGAAAGAGGTGTAAGGTGTAAAGTAAGCGGTGGTGGTAGTAGTAATGGTCGTGGCAGTGGTGGATGGGGGCCGCCAGTGATGGAGGGGAGGGGGGTAAGGTGGTAAAAGGGACGGGAATCCGTTACTAAGGCAAGTGCAAGGCCAAGGCGAGCCGCGAAGGCGGTCTACAGGAGATTGAGGGGGGTCAGAGACGGAGCCGGCGAACAATGGCATGAAGAGAGGCAGACAGGTCACGAAATAGTTGGTGCGGAGGGTAGCAATTCTTTTTGTTTAAGATTGTAGTCATTAACGGCGAATGAAGCGGATGGATCTTGGGGGTGTGGGTAGGGAGAAGCTGGGAATGATTACGATTCCATGCTGAAGACGGGAGGACGCCGCACGGAGACACTGCGAGGGCCAGTCCACAACCCGCAGTGACATGGAGCCAGAGAGGAAACGATGGGACTCAGGGAGGCAGTCGGAGACCAAGGTACCAGGAGTCTAGGAGAATAACCTACGGAGCACCAAGTAGAGATGGAACGGAGTAAGAGAAGAAGCGTCCTGGAGCGGTCCGTACTATGCGGTAGGCGAAATTAAGCAAGACCAAGACCCAAGACCCAAGACGCGAAGAACCTAGGACTAGGCTGGAATCACTGGACTAGATCGGGGGTGAAATGGTAAGGTATGGTATGGTGGAATGGTGGAATGGTGAAATGGTGGATATGCGCATCTGCCTCGCATATGTATTTCAAATGTAGCGCAGCAAACACTTTTACTTGTCACTACCTCCTTCCTTAGTTGTAGGCTCTCGTACATACCCAAGGTTAAGGTACCTTACCTTAGATAGGTGAGTGGCATAGATACTCTCTGTCTCGTCACATTTCCTCATCTTCTTTGTTGGCTCTTGCTGCAGAGCCCCCTTACAATGCATACGTACGAATGCTTTCGCATTTACAGTTACGTACATATGTCATATACTGTAAGTTAAGATGGAAAAGGAGTATTTTCCGGGCCAGGTACTTTTATTGCGTGGAACGACACAAGGTCAAGGTACGCATACCTTGAGAAATACTCGCTGCCTGTCACTGCTTTCCGGCTACATTCGATACGTACCCGCACTGGTAGCAGTCGGGATGTCAAGGACAGGGTCATCTCCGCAGGGAGGGGCCAAGGAGGAAGGCAAGGAAGAAGAAAAAGAAATAAAAAAATAAAATCGGGTCCCTGCCGTGCCTGCCCTGCCCGTGTGCTTGTGCCTGTGGTCAAGTGTTGAGTGTGGTCCTGCCGTCTTGGAAGGGGGAAAGAATGGAAGGAACGAACGGTACCTGCGCAAAGCAACAACGGCAAGTGCAACCCGCAAGTACCGGGTTCAGGGCAGGACCATTGGAGGACCATTGGAGGCTGGCAGGGCAGGGACGGGGATGTCCCTGACCCGTCCTTCTTCGAGACCGCTTTGCATCTTGGGGGCACTTCCCACTGGCATCTCATCTCATCCAATGACACGCTGCTATCGGGAACAGATGGACTGAAGAGTGGATTCTCCGGGAGGGACAAGACATGATACGTACCGCTTCCCCATTCCCAGCACTTTGCGGCCTGCGGCCTGCGACTGACTGACTGACTGAATCTTTTCTCTCCAGACAGACCTGCAGTTCACCTCGACCTCACCTTATTCCGAGACCATCTTGGGACGCATCCTGTTCTACTCCGTACCTTAATCGGCTTACACCAAAGTAGGTACAGATACTCTGCACTAGATATGCTCAAGACAGCACACAGATGGTACACTCGGTCTCTGAGCCAGCAGTGCTGACAACGTCCCAAAACTTGCCATGTATTCGAACCTCCAGGCGCACCATCTACATGAGGTGGCTCCCTACCTCACCTCGGAAGCCCCTGGACCAAAAGAGAAAGAGTCCGGTGTGGATACAAGTCGAAGAAGCGGAAACACGGAAACAAGGAAATGGAAGAAGACGAAGAAGAAGAAGAAGAAGAGAGCCACGCCTCACACGGCAGAAGCGCTGTCAGGTGGATAAGCCCTGTCTGCCTCGACGGGCATGTTCCATCGCCACGGACCATTCGTACGCATACAGGCCATCAGCACACTACTGGCGGCCCCCCATGGACCTACGAATTCAATTCTACAGCTAGAGTTGCTCCACCACGAGACTGCGTCGTCCAAATCGTGACGCTTCCACTGCCAGGAACCGAGGGGCGCCGAGACGCGAGAGGGCCTCTCAGAGGGGCGGAAACACTCAAAAACTTCCATCGCTAAAAGAGAAACACATTAGCCCTCTTCTCGCCATGCTGGCCCTGGCACACCCTCTTCAACCCCTGCTATGCCCCTGCAGCAGCCCCGGTCCAGCTGCGAGCTCTGGTCTTTTCCTCCGTCCACTACCCACATCTCCCCTGTCTGTCATTCCCGTCAACCATCTCAACTTCTCTAGGGACACTTACTTGTACGCAACCAATGCCGCAATCCTAGGGAGGAATATCCCTGTCGCCTACTGACTATTATTGTGCAGACCGCAAGAGCCTCGACTGCTTTCAGATGACGCTGGCGCCGTTTTGACTCTATCGCCGTTTGCAGACATCCTCACTGGCCTGAATTCCATCCGCCCGAAGCCGTGTCTCTGACTATCCTCTAGCGCATCTTCCGCCCTCCGCTCCTTTGATGTCCTCGTCGGCTTTCGTTGTCAACTCATACGCTATCCATACTTTCCCATCAGATCGAATCGACTTGAGATGGCATCGCATTTCGTCCTATCAGCCACCGCTTCTCCACTTCAACTGCTTAGCCGACTTTGCGGCGTCACCGGTCGAGCCGTTTCTTTCCCCCAAAGTCCAACCCCGAGACCAAAAGGAACCGGCAATCGTCCCGGCTCCGGTTGCTGGCGGTAGTCAGTGTTGTACAGTTTCAGGCCGGCTCCCCAAAAGGCAGAGCATAGACAGTGAGACATCAATGGAGAACGCCATCTCGGGAGCCGGATCGTAGCCCGTGTCATACATGGCTGTGTGTGGCATGTCATTGCAACTTCACATTACCCACCTCCATCTTGGTCTTGGACGCCTAACCCAGAGTTCATCAATCACCGCCGCACTGGTACCGAGCGAGTTCCTGCACAACTCCGGAAACACCTCGTACACGGTGCCACGGGCTGGTTTTCTTCCCAACGACACGCCAGCCACTATTATACCCTTTACATGCGTGCCATTCCACATAACGTCCTATGTTGGTTCGCAAATCGCATCACATCAGCTAGACAACGGCCACCGTCGTTCCTGACTCTTGCGACTCTGCACTAGTCCTGCTCATGTGCCGTTCCGAGCCTCCAATGCGACACAACACCGCTTGCTGGCCTTGCTCTGCGGCTGCTCCTGCTGACAACGACAGGGGAGACGAGAGAGGCAAACAAAATTGGCCGCCGGAGACTTTTCGTCACTTGACGCAGACGTTCGGAAACAGATGCCTGTAACTGCAGTCTCCAGCTTTGAGCCGTTGTCAGAGAGACTGTTTTCAAGCATATCGTTCGACGAGAATCTCCATACCGCTTCCCCCACCGCTACTTCAAAAGACATCAGCATCAGACCATGTCTGCCAGACCAAGCATTGTCTCCTCTCTTGTCACCTTTCGAACCGCCGCAGCATCCGTGGTGCTTAGGTACTTGTACGTTGCGCACTTTGTCTCCCACCTGAGAAGCCATCAAGCGAGCGGATCTCAGGGACCGAATCGTCCTCCTCACTCCCCACTCGCTCTTATCCGCACAGGTGTCCAAGCTCTTTCATCACCGCCTCAGTGTACTCCGTATGCAGCGTCCAAGTCTGGTCCGGTCTAATTAGTCCAGCGACATATCAGATCTAATTGTCTTGAACCTGCAGTTGGGCGGGCGGGCGCACTCAAATATGCAGCACATGCAGGCCTCGCTCGCATGGCATGGCATCGCGTTGCATCGCATCAACCATCAACGCTAATAAAGGGACCCAAGCTAAAGTCCATGTGGCCTCTCCAACTCGAGGCCCATCGAGGCCGCACCATCTCGCATCGCACGCCCGACTGGCTAGTCGCCGTCATAGATTAGTCCTGGGCCACTCCAAGCCCTCCAAGCCCTCCTGTCTCCGCCAACTCGCCAACTCGCCAACCTCTCCGCCATGATGCTGCACCGTTGCGGAGATCTTAATGCATGCAGCACACCACGGCCTCCGAGGGATCCATCAACCCATTTACTGTGCCTTGCCTTTCAATGCGCGCCTCCTGGACTAGACGGTTTAGTCTACACAGTAGACCGGCCTGCGCCGCTCGTCCCTGGCAAAAACTGGCCTGTCGGGCAAATACTAGCTGGTCATGTGCGGGAAATGGGCCAGGGCTCTCGATACTCAGCCGTCCAAGATGGTGTCGACTTGCTTGCTTTGCTGCAGAAGTTCCGGCAATCAGCTGCGGGCGATGTCCTACTTTGGACAGATTAGTGTAGCCGACATCCTCCTTCAGCTTATTGCTCCAGAATTACGCAGTCCTATCTACCTTTTTGAGCATCAGCACGCCGTTGCCCTCTTCCACTTTCACAACGCCCCTGGCCGTCGGCAGTAGAACCGATTCCGATTAAGGTGTCTCCGTGCGAGCCCGGTATCTTGGACATTTGGAATGCACCGACCATCTGGTTAATCTGCCGCTTGGTTTTTTCGGCTTACATCTTTGCCAGAGAAGGTCGTGCCTGCCGCCGCACCTAACGACATCCAAGTTTGTACGGATACGCTTCATTCCCTACGGATATACGTCCCCCGCGTTCAGAAATGAAGGCAATGGCAGCCTACCTCTCGGAGACGTAACGCTTATGACAGATCAAACGTACGCAATATCTCTGAACCACGTAACGTATGCGCCCCTGGCACAACGTCGCCAATCTTGCAGGGCACGCAGGAGCGATAGCGGCTAGGATCAGGGTTGACCACACAGTAACGGATTTAAGGAGCGGACAAAGCACCCCAATCCGGGGCCGAACAATGGGTCTGTTATCGATGGCCTCTCATCTGTCATCTCGCTGACGCTCAAACATCAGAGCATTCAGTCCAGCCTCCATCAGAGCCTGCATCGTCACCAGCGATCGTCCCATTACGCCGCAAGCGCTGCTATCAGCTCCCAAACCCAGATTGAACCACTTGCCCGAGGTGTGTGCCCGCCACTGGGACTCCGCCCGGCCGATCAAGTCAACCGCTTTTTGTCTCGGGTGGGGTCTTTGCGCAGCTTGTTCAGCTTACCAAATACGGCCGGCCCGGGATAACGTCCGTCGCCGAACCCCGGCGACATCGCCGTAGTATTCCGCCCCGAGTGCCCAATTCAAAATCATCATTTCTCACACTCTGCACGGATACTCCGTAGGGATTCAGATATCCGTACGGATTCAGGACTCATGCCTTCCATTGTCAGGCTGGGTATCAGCCACAGATCACCTGTCGACCGACTTTACCTGGATCTCGTGCGAGTGCCGAGGCTCTAGCTGATGGACGCCCCGAAACAGTCTAGTTGGTTGACATCACGCAGGTGGCTTGCGTTTGAAGGGCGGTTGGCGCAGAGCAAAGACGGTGCCCCTGGTCCACCTTTGAGGAGCCTCTCCACATACTTTAACCCTCTTCGCTTGCTTTTTCCTCTTAGACCTAAGCAGACTCGATCATCTTGGCCAGTTGTCAATCGCGTGGCACTGATGCGGGTTTAACGCCAGAAATGCCATCTTGGACATGACGGTCACGGTCAGTCTTACTGTCTAATGTACCAGAAGGTCCCAGACATATCCACTCATACCCCGCCAAGGTCCAGACCAACATTGAGATTCTCGTGTGGCTTGCGATATGCGCCAATAGCTTCGGTCAGTTGGGTACGCGAGTGCCTTGGACTCCCAGTGTGCCAGTCCATCAGATGTATTCCTACAGCTGCCATCACAACATACGTGCGCAGTGAGATTTGTGGACAACGAGCCAGCGCTGGCACATTCTCACACTCTCTCCTCGGCGGCAGATACAAGTCGTGTCTTGCATCAGAGAGATGACTTCGTCTTCATATTTCGGATACAGCACCCGTCAGACCGTAGACGGGATCGCTGAGTATTGTCCCACGGCCACAGTGTCTCACAAACCCTACGAAAGCAATCTGTAATACACTGCGGACTGCACCCTTGCCAATGAGCACAAGCCGCCTCAGCACTAGCCACTTTACAGTAGCATTGGGGGCATCGTATTCTTTCGAATCGTGGAGAGACGGGGATATTGACTCGTACCTTGCGCTGAGGATCATGAAGAACCCCGGGGACTTTCGCCTTTTGCTCATCACTTGAGCGGTCCGTTCCTGTGTGCACGCCCATGACGCCCTCCGAGGCAGGTCGACTGGCTTCCAGATCGCGGAAACCCCCATTATGGGATTCTCGCCCTGGGTGATCCCACAGCAGCTCGTCGCACTAGATGACATGTCTGAGACATGAGCTAGGTTCGTTACACATCATCAAGCGGTGATGAGAAGCTATCCCAACCATCTGGTTTGTGTCCCTCAAAAGACACAGGAAACAAGTCGTTGACCAGAGTTCTAACTGAAGAATGTATCAGTCCGTAGGCCACGGCGATAAGTAGGATCGACAGGGTTGCGTCTCGAAAAAGCCCGCCCCTCGTTCCGACGTGTTAATTGATGATCCTCGTGCGGAGGGGCAACGTGGTGTTGCGGGTCGACAAGCTATATCCACCTCGAAGCGAGGACGATCGCGAGGTCTTGAGGTTGCAGTCTCCTCCGACCAGTTAATTACGCACCCTCTCCACAGACCATAGCGACCACTGAGCTTCAGGCGCACCCTGCACGTAAGCTTACTCTCGTCACTACTCAGAACCCAGAAACCCGGAGTTGGCACTTTGTTGGGGGGGGTTTGGCAAAAACCTGCTGCCTGAGTCGCAGTGTAAATGAGCGCCATGCAACACCGGCCCGATGGCGAGTCAGGATGGAGTTGGGATTTCGGGGAACGTTGCACGCGGAATGTCTCGCTCGAGCGCTGGCGCTGGGCAGTCGGCCGACCCGTACCAAGATCGAGAAAAAAAAAGCCTTTACGGATACGGCGCCTTTTTCGAGGTTTTAGGAAATCGACGTTGCACGAGGCTTGGCCCGACCGGTAGCATCTTTGCGAGGCGGCGGCTCCTGGAGTGCCGGATGCTAACAACGACGAGAGGGGCCTGACGGGAGCCCTGGGTTCGGACATTACTTCTTTGTTTGATGTCTTGCCTATGTAGTGGCTGGAAGCCTACGACAACGTTTTCAAGGAGTCGGCAAGGTGAAGGAATGCTTCCAGAAACATGTGAAGCCTTTCGATGCGAATGGCTGAAAGGGTGCAAGAAGTAGGAAAGACGCGCAAGCGTGCGGCAGAACGTCTGGTGACATTCGTCTCATGTAAGTGGTTCTCGATCCGGCATATACGGCTGCCTTCCTCCACGATGACACTAGAGTCCTGTAACTGGTAACAGTCTTGTTGTGAGAAATGTCGTATTGCCTGCCAAGATGTGACGATGAAGAGCTGACGCTATCGTTCTTTGTGTGCAAGGAGCTGACGGTTTTGAATCCATCTCTCGGAGCTGAGGCGTCGCTTCCTGGTTGCATTTGAGCGGATACATCGACGTACTCACGAGGATGATCGCTCTTCGTCGATTCCGATAACACAGCTTAGTAGAGCTTTACTAGCAGCGGTTGAGAGAGGGGGGCATGCTATTGAGAAGCCATGCTGCCAGAGGCTGGTCTCAGCAGCGGGCCTCCATGAATCCATGGGTTTATCTATAAGATATGGGAGAAGGCGAAAGCTGAGTGCTGTACCACGTAGGCTATCAACAGAACCATAGGTATAATGTGCCTCAGTCTTGTAGTCCCGGCGGCTTAGCGAAGGAATCGACGACATTTCTATCTTGTACCGTAGTGGATTGTCTGTCAGCATAGCCGACTTATTCCACGTAGGCAGACACACGATCCTATCATTCAATCTCGGCGAAGTTTGAATGGGAAGTAATACTTTGCATAAAGTTGGCGTGCTTGTCGCTTATCCGTATTGATAGGCATCTACTCTGGGCGAATCACAGACTCGATTGTAAACCGCAGAGCCATGAGGGTTGTTGCTCTGAGAATCGGACGTATCAATCTCGAGGAACTCGCTCGAAGTTGACAGCTCGGTTGGTGTAATTGTGTCCTCCATCCAAAGCCGAGCGTTTCTCTAGGGGGAGGAGCTTATCTCGGCTCAAATCACTCTTTCAGTATCCCGTCCTTCCCGGTTGGTTATTCTTGATGGGATACGCCGATGCTAGCAGAGGTTGATAAACAAGGGGAAGCGGCTGATGTTGAGCAATCTTGTTTTCTGATGAAGCCTGAGAATTTCCTCTTCGGCCTGGCAACTTGGCTCGAAGACTTGGCGTCACTTCTCACTGCGCTTATTGTACAAGGAGGACAAGACGTGAAGGAGTGGGCGGATTTCATGGCTACCGTTAAGTAAAGGAGAGAATGGCCACGTACTCCGGCCTTATATACCAATTACTAGTTGAGTTTGGTGGGCAGAGGTAGCCGGCTGCTCTACAAACAGCCCAGTATTCCTAAAGTATGGTGATGGAGAGTGGCATCAAATCAAGACATCCCCTGCGCTTTGCTCTTGTACATCATGAACATCTCACGGGGATCGGAATGAGGACTCCGGCATTTGGCAAAGTATCTGAATGGCCCACGCTTCGAATGTGACGAGTTGGTCTTGTAGGTGCCGGGTTATGATGAGAAAGCAATATTATGTTGACTTTGCGGTCCGGATTCGCGGTTCTGGGAACGGGAAGAGCGGTTGAGCAGAGTGGATGATGAGACCTTCCATCTTTTAGCGCGGGAATTGACTTTGATACTACGAGTCTAATTTTTGACTTTTCTAAGCAGAAAGCTATACTTTGCGTAGTAGCCCATGTCTTGGGAATTCGACGACACGACATCGCTGCCATAATCGATTTGCTCAACTTTCCTCATAGGAGGTCAGAACCGACTTGATGTACACCATCCGCCGGTGTCAGGTCTACGTGCTCACCTCTAGAGTCTAAGCTGGGAATCCGGGGGTCTAGAAATTTGATGGCTTAAACGGTGTTCTTTCTCATGCCATTCTCAAGCTTGAACTCGACCTTTGGGGACAGTATCAACGCCAGACTCGAAGTTCGCCGAGACCATCTCCTGCGCTCATGGAGTCGGCATAGGCTTGCTCTACCTGTACGATGTTACCTCCCCGTCGATAACTCAGTCTTTGCCAAAGTGAGTTGCGCTGAATTGCAATTCTGTCACCAGGCCCCTACGGTTCAACGATGGATCCTCTTTACCATCCGCGCCAAATAGCTAGCGTCGTTGGTCTTGTCCGTGTCTGCTCGCCGGTCAAGTCTCTGTTTTCGAACCGCGGAGATGGTAGTTTCCTGTATGTTAAACGTGTACCAAATCTCACTTTTGAACTCGATGCCAGACTTCTTCAAGCTACGCTTAGTGGATGTATTTAGCGGCAAGAAAACACGTTTGCCCAACTCAGGGTCCAACCTTGCTTTGGTCAACGCACGTTTCCCCTCCCAGCACAGCACGATTCCTTTCCTGCTCTATGCTCCCTCTTTTTTTCTCCTAGCGGCTTCTTTCCTCCCCTCATTCGCTGGGGGTGGGGGGATTCCCTTACTGAATTTCCTCTCAATTGGACAGGTTTACGCATAGGTATCATTGCATTATTCATGGGCATGCATCAGCGTCGTCGCGATTAGCGGTGGTCCGATGCACGGGACGCACCGGATCGGCGTGCTTCCGGGGCGCGGTTTCGAGTCGGTGGGCTTTACCTGTTTGGCGGGTATGGCGGCGAAGAGAGAAGGGAATAGGTAAGGTCAATCATGACATTGAAGGCACCGAGGAGAGATTTGTGGCGGGATTCTGATGTTGGGAGTTTCTTCAGTTTTCAATGTTTGATGGGACTTTTTTTGTTTTGTTTGATGGTAAGGCACATGTGTGTACTTTGGTTATTGCGGCATCCCACTCGCGGCTTTCAGGTTGCATTACAGCCTTTTTGAGACGTTTTGATTTGAGGTTGGGTTGTTGTTGCTCACTCAGCTCATACTCGGCTGTTCTGTCTAGTGTTGAAAAGGTCGGGAGACGCTTTCAAACGCGTGTACAGTACATACACACACTCTGTCCGGCAACCAATACGACTCCCTGAGGAACGCTCGCTCGCGAGATAGGGAGACATAGATACGCATCCCAATGGCAGCTCTCCTGTCAACGTCGGCTTTGAGGCGCAGGCTGAGGACGGCCATCGACAGCGACCCCCCTGGAAGGCGGCTGTGGAGTTGGAGCGGGCCGAGTCACGAGGCGGAAGAGAAGTTTGAAAGAGCGGCTGCTCTTCTTTCATGGGAGGAGTTACGTGAGTATCACACACGAATGTTCTTATTAGATATTGAATCGGAAGTTGACGCTTATTCTGCAGCTGAGTGGCAGCAGTGAGTTGTTCCTTGTGATGTGAGGACCACCTCAATGGGCACAACTAATTCGAATAAGATGCGGAAGTGATCACATCAAGACTGGGTATCGGTTAGTATTCCTGAGTAATGATATTGCATGTTACGTCTTGTTCTGATGGGTTCTGAGATAGACGAGCTTGTAACTCAGTACCGGGATGCCTCGCCAGTTGGACCTATATGCATAATGAGTCGGGTGAGTTGAAAGTATAGGCCCAGTCTGGCAAGATGTCACAATCTGATACCAAGAACAGTCAACATCTACTCCCACGTAATAGGCGCCGTAATCTTCATTCTGCTACCATTCTACGTCTTCAGCGATGGAATTTCAGCCAGATGGAGCATTGCCTCAACCGCAGACGTGGTCGTCTGCACCGCCTATGCCATTGGTGTAACCATCTGCTTCGTCCTTTCCACGGCGTAAGTTCACCTTGAACACAAAATCCCCTGGCTCGATCTTCGTATTTCCCCCCTTGATGACCAGAAATGGTGCAATGCTAATACGAACGCTGTCAAGCTTCCACACCCTCATGTCCCACAGCGAATCCATCTACCTCTCCGGCATCAAAGCCGACTTCCACGGCGTTCTCGCCCTAATGTGTTCCTCCGTCTTCCCTCTAGCACACTACGTGTTCCCTTGCTCCCCGGCAACGCGGGATGCCTACATCGCGCTGACGGGCGTACTGGCCGCTCTCTGCGCCGCGGCGACGGCGAGGCCCGATCTGGGGGCCGTGGACTTGGGACATCACCGCGCCGCGTTGTTTGCTATGTTTGGGCTCGCAGCCTTTGTGGTGCCCATCGGGCACGGGGTGGTGGTGACGGATGGTGGACGGGAGGTGTGGGATCGGGTTGGCGGGTGGTGGGTTTTGTGGACGGCTGCGTGGAATTGTGTTGCTGTTTTTGTGTACTGGGCCAAGGTGAGTTTCTCTCTCGCTTGAAATTTGTGACTTTTGCTTTGTTTCCCATGTCTTCAGCGGAGCGTGGTCAGCGAGATTGATGCTTTGGGCTTGAGAGACTTTGCTAACTGTTCTCGGGGGTCAGTTCCCGGAAAGATGGTTCCCAAGAACGTTTGACTTGCTTGGGGCCAGTCATCAGTTGATGCATATATTTGTAAGTTGGGGTCTTCTCTTGCGAGGCTGCCTTGGAGAAGACGGTAGGGAGACGTACTGATAGTCTCAGGTTCTGGCTGCTGCTCTTTCGTATGCGAAAGCTGTTATTGTGGCTTTTGACTATAGACATGCGCGGGAGCTTGTGTGCTGAGTTTCCGACCTCCGACAAAAAGATATGCGACAGGTAGGCTGGGGAGACATGTATTCGAGGGTGAGCTGTCATCAAAGGGAGTTGGTCTTGACAGAGGGGAATAGTGGGAAAGACGTTTTAAACCGTAGGCCGGCATGATATCTTGACGGTCTATTCGGTCTCTAGGAAGGGTTTGACAGAGAACGAACTCTAATTAAGGATCTATATACACAAGTAACCGATAGACCCAATACTTCAAACAACTGTACATCTATCTTTGCTGTTGAAACACGGCTGCACTCTCCATGAGCAGAGTTACTGTCCACCGACGTTGACAACAACCTTCCCCCGTGCCCTACCACTACCAACAACCTCATACCCATCCACAGCCTCCTCAAATCGAAGCTCTCTCTCCACGACCGCCTTCACTCTCCCATCCGCCAGCATAGCAATAACCTCCTCCATCAACGCCTTCCCAGGATCCATCATCGCCGTCGCAGCCCACCGCCTCCCCGTGCCGCCTAACCAAGTCGAACGAGGCCACAGCGCATTCATCTGCATCTGCCAGCCCGCCTTCACAAGAGCCCCAACGGACTGATCAGCCGGCTTAATACCCACAGCCGAATATACCCCCTCAGGCTTGAGATACTCTGCGCAGTGCACATAAACATCCTGCACACCAACACAATCAACAACAGCATCGAACCGCTTCCCCTCGCCCCCGAACTTCTGTCCCAGCACCCTCGACACAGGCAACGGACGACCCGCAGTATAATCCACCACCTCGTCGGCTCCCAGACCCAGCACCATCTCCGCGTTCCGTCCCGAGCAAACGCCGACGACGTACCCTTCCCGTCCGACGATCGCGCGCGCCATTTGCACGGCCAGAGACCCGATACCGCCGCTGGCGCCGTTGACGAGAACCCTGTCGCCCGGTTTTAGGCTCGTTGCGCGGATGGTCACAGCGGCGGTGCAGCCTGCTGTCATTACGCAGCTTGCGTCGCGGAGGGAGACGTGGGATGGGACGGGGACGGCGTAGCGTGCGGGCAGGACGATGTGTTCTGCTAGGGCGCCGGTACCGGTTGGCCAGGCGTAGGATATGGGGAGGAAAGCTGCGACGCGGTCGCCTTTGGAGAAGCGGACGGTGCTTTTGACTGTTGCTGCGGCTGTTGTGCTGGGTCCGGCGTTGGTGGGCGTCGAAGAACCCACATGAGAACCGGACCCGGACCCGGACCCGGACCCGGATTCGGGGCCCCACTCGTCCGTTACGGTTCCGCTTAGGTCCCAATCCGGCACCGCCGTCTTTGCGCGCACGGCGCCCGGTAGCTTAGTGATGTAGAGGTGTCCGCCCGGATTCAGCGCCGCGTGTGCGACTTTAACGAGGAGCCATTGGTTGCCGTCGGCGGCGCCGGGGACGGATTTGGCTTTTGCGAGGAGAGGGGGCGCTGGTGGGAGGGATGGGGTCGGTCTCGAGACGAGGGAGAGGACGGAGCGGGGGCTGCCGCGGTTTGTGAATGTCCAGGCGCGGGATGAGGCCATTTTACCGCAAGTTAAAGAAAGGTGAGGTTGAGGAACTGGCTGTTTGGATGAGGGCTTGGTGAATGCAAGGTGTAGGATTTGGGGGAATGGGGGTTTAAGAGAAGCCACAGGGGGAATGTTTAGAGAGAATGGAGCGCAAGGAAGATGATGCTCTGTTATGAATGCCACAGGTTTTTCAGGCATTCCCACTGTCGCATTTCAATCAGTTCTTATACAGATGCCATAACTGGTCTTGATCAAGAAGCGTCGTCAGGATCGGCAGAAGTCGGCGCTGCCTAACGGTTAAACATAACGGTAGCTTTGTACGGATATGTGTTCCGCGGTGATCTGGCCGGCCCTGATTGGCCTGGTGGCTACTAGGTATCGATAGGCCCAAGGGGATCCTTTGGAAGATGAAAGAAATTACCTTAGGATCAAGTCATTACCGCATCCCCAGCCTTGAAGAACATGCCGCAGCGATGCCCTATAGCGAGAGCTTTCTCACTGCAGCCAAAGTTTGCATCTTGAGGGTCACAGGTTCTGCCGGGCTAGGATCGTTGTTTCGGGAAATTTCAAAGGCTAGTTGGGAACGTCAAAAGTGGTCGTCCGAAGAAAGTTCCTCAGGTAGCATCGGTATCAGGACACTGCATCAACGTAACCACAGCCCCAGCTGAGATTCAGGTTCGGGGAGATGTACGAGATGCAATGTCGCAAATCCAATAGGAAGTGCTAGGTGTGGCAAATGAAGGCCAAAACATTGGACAATTTCATCGGCACATATACGGCAAGTCTGCCCAGGCCATTGGAACATAGCTCCATACGTAGGTAGGTTCAAGAAAAGGAAAAGAAGAAAGATTTATCCGAACATGCGACCAGAAGAAAGAACCGAACGTGCAGCTGACTGACACTTTTCCTTGAGCTGAATGAGTCGCCAGTTGCCAGGTTCATCGCATTGAATTGGGTGGCACGGGCGACGTCTCACTGGCAAGTCAGCAAAAGTCTCCAGGTGGAGTGGGACGATTCGACACGACACGTCCCCGCGACGGCCTGAAGTCTGGTGGTTGTGGGGCGCTGGACTTTTGAAGGAGTGGACATGTACTCCGTACACAGGACTGGACTCGCTGGGCGGGCTGTACGGAGTACCTGTAGGCTGTAGCTTGTGGCACAGCGGCACCGGCACGAAAGGGAAGGTGGAGATTGAAGACACTTGTGACTTTTGGGGCGTTGAAAGCGAATTCCCTACCCAATGACAGTCTTTCGGCAGCTTAGTGGTCCCTGGGGGAAAGAAGACCGGCGACCAGAGCTGACAGTCCAGTCAAGTCCATCTCTGTCAAGTCCCAGCCATGGACTGAGGGGATTGGGGGGTCTCCCTTGGTGGCCAAAAGGGCCAAGACTTTGGGATGCAGAATCCGGGGCCTGGAACCTTGTCGTGCCTGTCACGCTTGCCCACCGGAAAGCCAAAATAACCACACCCAACTGGCAAAGCCAAGGGCAATTCATCCCTGGTGCGTCTGCTGCCTACCCTTTTTTTGTTTTTGGCCGTCTGCCTACCCAGGTACGCATACGCATACGGCAACACACCATTCCTTTCTGTCCTTCCCATTCCCCTCACGATTGTCTCTCGTTTTTTTTTTTCTTTCTGCATCCTGCTGGCCCGTTGTTGTTTTCGTCTTTGCTGCTGTTGGAGGATTTGTTCACGCCTTGGATCTCCCACATCTCCATCTCCATCGTCGACCCGACTGTCAAGATCATCCACCAGGCATCTCCCATCCAAGGCTGCCGACATACTTCTTCCCCTCCCACGACCAAAGCATCGTTCCTTCGAAATGTCGATGCCGGGCGCCTTCTCCCCCGATCTGCTACCCTTCGAACCAGACTCCAAGAAGGACGATTCTTCCTCTGCCGCCGTCAACCCGCCGCCTCTCCGTCTCAACCAACCCTCCGACGCCTTCTCCCTCCACACAAACGACCCCTACTACGATGACATTGCCACAGCCTCGTCTTCAAATGCTGGCGACCTGCCCCCGTCCTACACTGACGAACCCTCGTCGCTCGACCCAAAACACAACATAACCACCACCGTGACCCCGCTCCTGGCAGACGAGTCCGGCCACTCCCCGCTCCTCTTCCGCAGGGACCCCGACACCGGTGCCGAAATCCACTGTTCACGCCGCCTTGATACCGACCCGGCCTTTCTCGAATCCCACATCACCTCTCTTGCCCAGTCGCCACCAAGACCCTACCTGCGTGTCCGCGGCACCCACACCGAGAGCATCCGCAAGCGGGACGATAAGACGGAGAGCAAGACCGTCGTCGACTTTGACGTCCGCGTCGAACTCACCCCTTACCTCTATCGCGACATCGCCACCCGACGCTCGTGGCGCGAGCTCCGCACCGCCGACAACTTCCAAAAGGTTCGCCGCGGTACCGTCTTTCCTACCCGTGCCCCGGGCTTCGGCGGCAGGTCGTCGGGTGCTCGAGGTGGTGCTGCGGGTGAGGAGGTGAGCAAGGAGCCGCCCACTCTGCGGGAGTGGTGCCATCGCTACTGCGCCTCGCACGCAGGGCTCAAGACCTTTTCGCTCCTACGCACCGTGCCGGGATTCGACGATGACGAGCGCCTCAAAACCCGTCTCGAGGACCTGGTCCGCGCCACCAACTACCGCGGCCGTATTGACGTCTCCTTCCCCGTCCATGATGCCAGAGTCGACATCTACAATACGTGCCGCGTCAACCGCTGGCGCTACACCACCTGGGTTTGCTGGCTCTTCTACCTGACCTTCCTCTGGGTCTTTGCGTGGCCCTACCTCTTCTTCCGTACCAAGCGCTTCGAGGTCGTCGAGGCCGAGTGGGCCTTTTCCCGACGCCGGAGAGATCCCCAGACCGGGAGAGCAGCGGGCGGCAGAGAGTATGTCAGCCTGTCAGAGACCGACCTGTACAACATGTGGGGACGGGCCATCTCCAAGGCCGTGCTGGAAAGAAGGCAGGGCGAGCTGGACCAGCGTGATCTGCGAGATGCCGAAGGGCGACAGGATACGAGCTTCGAAGACGTCCTCGCGGGGATCGACCAGGAGACGACGAGAGGGCTCGTGAGGGCTGGCGTGAGTGCGATGAATGTTGTCAATCGGCATTTTGGGTGGGGAGAGGATCGTTGATGTTGGGTGTCTCATTTCGTTTCTTCGTCCTTGATTTCGCGTTGTTGGTTTCGTTTCCTCGGCCGGGTCGCTTTGCTCATTTTCCACTGCTGTTTTTCTTCTTTCCCAAAGGCTGGAAGTGCCGGTGTTTTGTCTTTGGGTCTTTTTTTCCTGCATCGCCTCATAATGATTCCCAGACTGTGACGCATCATGATTCTCTTTCTTTTACCCTTTGGTTCGGGAATACCACTGTTTTGGCATAGGTAGCGAGGGTTAAGAGTTACTTACGACAAGCACAGCACGATATATATATATATATATACATATACATACACATACGTAAACCCCAATCGAGATGAATTGCTAGTAAATCTGATGAGCAGTTTTTGTGCTAGGGTGATGTGCTGGCTGTTTCTGTAGAGAAAAAGACTCGGGAAAAAGGTTTGCAGAAGCTAAAGAGAAATCGATCCATTTGTACTCTTTCCCAGAGGAGGGAATTATCATGTTGCACCCGAAGCTTCCGTCCCATGTCTCACAAGCGACCCCTTCGTGTAAGCAACGCTCGAGCATCGTTAGGGTCTAGCTCCGGCACGGGCGACCGAAGAATCACCAATTGGATTCTGCACCTACGGAGTACGGATAGTTAGTTAGGTAATCTGGACCCTGCGACGGAACCCCGCCGTTTTGTTCCATTGTGCCCCACCATCCCACCTCAACTCACCCACCTCAGTCAAGCTCATTGCGCTTAAACACTCAAAGAGTTCGCCGAGTTGTTCAACGATATCGAGTCTATCCGATATCACACACACTTCTTTCACCTTTACCCCAGGGAAAAGACTCGCTGCTTCGGTGTTCATACCCAACCCAAAGAAACCGGGCAAGGTACATACGGAATTATGGAAGTCAAGAACCCGCGCCGGGTACTGGCGGTCTCGCTCGCCGACTCGTCACAGCATTTGAGTAGAGTCATCAAAGGTTTGTGAAGCTATACTCACTTCTTTACCATGCTTGTTTACTTGGCCTTGACATGTGCAACTCGTTCTCGGCCCATCTCATTGTCGCTCATATATCTCACTCTCATCATGAGATGGAATGGGAAATCAAGCCCGCATCACATGAGAACCTTTGCAACGACACACCCCCAACATCTCACCGCAACCCATCAACATCAACATCACATCCTTCTCTACAGCCCTCTATTGAAACACCCTCTCACCCCGAAATGATACAAAAAGATACAATCATCACTAACGCAAGAGAGACGGCCAGACCTAACAGGCACCCACCCAGAGCCAGCATCCACAACCCTCGCAGGCACAACGCACATCCTCCCCATCAAGACGAGCTACTACACCGCCGACGTGCCCATCTGGCTAGACCTCGTCGCCTCCCCGGCCGAATGGTCCGCGTCTTTCCTCTCGCCCGAGGCCAAGGAGGTACTTACCGTGCTGGGCGGGTTGGCTGTTGTTTTTGCCCTGCCTTCTTCTTCTTCTTCTTCTTCGTCTTCTCCGGCCTCCGCGGCCCCGGCTTCAACATCGGCACCATCACCAGCGTCAGCAGATGCCACCACCGCCACGACAGCACCGAATCCGCCTTCGGTAGAAGACACCCGCGCGCTCATCGCCGAGGTCGGCAAGGTCGTTCGCGAGGGGCTTGGCGGGTGGGGATGGGACGGCGTCGGGTTGGGCATCGGGGTCGGGGAGGGGGTGGCGGACGAGTGGGAGGATCTTTGCGCGGAATGGGGGCTTGAGTTTGTGCAGGTTCGTGGGGGGAAGAAGGATGATGGTCGAAACGAGTTTGGAGGTGAGTTTTTCCCGCATCCACATTTTTCTTCTCTCCTCTTTTGTTTCTTGTCCGTCTCTTTTCTTTCTTTCTCCTATTTTGCGTTCCACTGCCTCGGCTTTCCAGGCTGCATTTCATATTCGGACCTTGCTTCCACGCTTCAAACTCGATTTGAGAAAGCAAGACGAGGCAGTAAGGGCGCTTATCTCAACTGACGCCTTTACTGCTCCCTCGCGCATACAATACACAATAAGGGTCCGTCCTGTGCTGACCTTTTTCTGCCAGAGAAAATGGGCGTAGCAAGAGCCCTCGAGGCACTCGAATCCAACGACTGGGATGCCGCAGACGACATGGACGGCCCCTCAGATCTCGACTCGGACGATGACACCGCCAGCACTCTACCCAGGAAACCCAGACCCCTAGCAGACGGCAACGGCGACGACGACGAGTTTGACCTCGACGACCCAGAGAACCTAGATTTCGGCTTCGACAGAGCGGATTTCGAAGGCTTGAAAAAGGCGATTTGGAACCTTGAGCAGGAGCCGGAAGATGAGGAAGCTGGAGCGGAACCGGGGAAAGCAGCGAGCGGAAGCAATGGCGCTGCTGCTACCGCCGAGGACCCGAACGCGAAGAAGAAGAATAATACAAAGGGCGACGAAGAAAAGGAGGATCTGGACGCCGAGGACGTGGAGAAGATTGAGCAGATGATGCGCAAGCTGCAGGCTGTCAGGGATCTTAGTGCGGGTCTGCCTGAAGACCAGAGGCGGAGGATGGCGAAGAAGGCTGTCGGGGAGGTGATGAAGGAGCTTTGAGGGGGTGATGCGCAGGTGTTCCGCTGGTCTTCTTTGCGTTTTGGTCTAAAGCAGGGGACATCAGCAGCTGAGGAAGACAACTGTGTAGGGAGACATTTGTGTGTTTTTCTAGACGACGCGCATGAGAACCTCACAGAAAGCGGATGAAGTGCTGAGGAGACTTCGACAAACGCTCGGCTTAAGCTGAAGTGCCTTTCGGACGTAGAGGCCCCGGAGTTGATGAAAGTGACTAGAATATATCTCCCTCCAACCACAGTCAAATGTGCCCGCTGTTCATTCGAGTGGAGGAAGTTGGACGTGATAAGCCTACTGTACCCAGAGAGACGTCAAGCCTGAAATAGCCAAGAGAAACACAGCAGATTCGTCTCCATTTGAGAGCACAAAACATCCATCTTTGGCGAAAACCCCTCCCCCTAGTAATGCTATCTATACCCCAACAAGTTTATGTGAGCCTAGTTTATTTCGCCCAAACTACGTTGGGTTCGTAGGACTTTGACAGTCTCTTCGTACGATGGTCACGACAACCCCCATATGATCTAGCGGGAATACACACCTTTATGGGGAAACCCACGAAAGAATGTAAGCTCCGTAGCTGGACACTTCAAGCAAATATGCAGCTGGAGTAGAGTCGATCTCGCACCGCTTCGAAAACGAGAGCTGAGCAACCAAAGGTCAAGAAAATCGTTCGACATTCTTAGTCTGACGAGAGTTGTTTGCATACAAACATACATGAACCAGGTGGTATGCATACGATATTTGACTGCTCAGAGTCCTAAACAGGCTTTGAGAGTGAGTCCAAAGGCCAGAAGAACCCCTCTCAGCATGAATTCAGCCAAGGGTTGCACATAGCCTGAGATGGCTGGGTCTGAAGCCGACTTTTCATGTCCTTCCCGCGCTTCCCTACTGTGTCCAACTATACCTAACCTTCTCAACGTCACTCAGGGCTGCAACATCCACCCTTGGCCAACTAGCAAGAACTCTAGAAGCATTTCGTCGCCGCCTTGAGCTGTAGCCCATCAAGTTGCTATTAGCCCTGCTGGACACAAAATGGAGCAACAACCGTTGTTGACCATTGTCCCCCTAAAGTGGCACCGCATAGGAGTAAATTCTCCAAAAACGTGGCTTCCTGCTGATCTCCCGTCGACAGGAAGGTGTAGCCTATTCAAAGGCTGTAGATCCCGGATATTCTACATACCAGCAAAATACTGCCCCGGGTGTATTTGCCCAAGTCGGGAGATATCGAGAGCCAGGAACCTCCCTTTTCCCTTCTACTCTTCGACATGCCGCGTGGCATGCATAGAGTGTTGCCTCTTGGTGAAGAAACAGGGTCCAGCCCCATCTCTATATCTCCCGCAAGCTCACCCATTTCGGGCCAGGAAAAACCGAGGGCATGGTTAGCCAGACATGTAGGGATGCGTTAGACGGCTTGGGAATATAAAGTGAGCACACTCGAATCGAGGAGTTCGGACGGCGGGCGAACGAAGCAGGGGATCCGATAGCATCATGCAGCAAGACTAGGTAGTAAGTCCATATTGCTCAAGAACGTTCGTCCCTAGAGTTATGCTTCGGGGAGGCTCCGCGCTTGATCATGCCGAGTCATGTCATGAAGAGATGCCCTCTGTAGGTCAGGTCAATCGCCCAGAAGTTGGGTCAACCCGGGAGAATAGATTGATCCGAACAATTCGGCGGTCAAGTCCCGTCTCGGGTCAAGCAGCTGTCAGCGGGAGGCCGGCCAGGAGACCCGTCTCGGTGAGGGCCGGCAAGAACATCAGACGAACGCTAGCGCCGATCCTCTTGCAAGCCCTTGTGCGATCTCGTACAGATGCACGACGTCGACGTCGCAGACAGACAACGAGCAGGGACAAATCCGGCACAGCCTCTCCATATGGCCCACAGCTTGGTTCATGCCGACGTGGTTCCCCTCCTGTCCCCTTTAGAGGCCCGAGCACGGAGGTCTTTGCAGCAATAGAATGTTCTGCCGCGCATCGCAAAACAATGCGGCGGAGCACCGCGTTGTAGACCGGCGTCGCATGACTGGTGGTCTTTTTCCTTTACCTCACGAATCCTCCCTCCGTTGCCGGCGGGGAAGCTAGGCTCAATCGGAAATTTCTCAGCGATGCCTGTAATGCTTGTCGAGGAAGCGATAACCTGCTAAGTTTCAGCAAACTCGATTGGGAATGCTTGGCCCGGTATCACGGTAGTTTTGGGTACCCTGCTGCGCTGTTCGGGGCTCGCTAGACGCTGCTTTCGTGATCGTTGGCGATCGGTTGTCGTTGATCTCCCAGCATTCAGGGCATTTCATACGGGTAGGCTGTAGCCAAGCCGATTGAGGAGAATAAGTAATCGTCCGAGCTCATTGGCGCCATCCTGTGAGATGTCAAGTTTTGCCTCACTGTCGTTAGTGTCGATCAGTCTCGCTGCCTGGTATCTTTCATGTAAGGGGAAGTAAACAATCGTAACATGCACGATGAGGATCTAGGATATGACGAGCATGCGCCATCTTGCCATCGAAGCTTCAAAACAAATGTACTCGGAGTAAGCAATGGCAACGCGTCAAGGCGCGTTTCTCAATGTGTTGTCCCAGTGTCGCGATGATCATTCATGCTTCGGCGGAGCCCTAGCTTTAGCACCCTGCCTATTGGTCAGTGATCTCGGAGTGATTATGCTCTGTCAGTGGTGAACCCGGAGCTGAAAGCATTTGCAGGCGGCGTAAAAGCTCTGGACCTCCAGACCTGACTACGAAAGCAGGACCAGACCTTTGGGTCCGTATCGATGGCAACTGACAGTCTGACAGCCATGAGCCTTTCGCAGCGTGGAGACAAAGGAAACGACAAAGTCTGTGAAGCACGCCATTGTCAAGCCAAGCCAATTTAGCCAGCTATCGACGACACGGACTTGATGGAGACTGTAGCCTCTTCGGTAGCTGCGGATGGTCAGCTGACAGGACTCCAGGAGCGCAGCAGATCTGGTAGATGGTCCCAGTACTCCGTACTCCGTACCCGTAAAGCACTACACGCTCTCGTGTTGCCTGGCTGTCAGTAGCCGACTTCCATGCCACCGTTTGATTCTGTGGGTTGGTGCCACAGACGCCGCGGCGGAAAGGTCAGCGATACATCTCGCCTATTCCTCGCCTTGTCTACCTCTTGCGGCAATCTTGCGTGTTATCCATAAAGGGTCCAGTGACAACAGCCGGTCTCTCAAGGGCTCTCAGCAAGCGAGAATTAACTCTACAGGGCTCGAGATAGGGGGAGGGGCAAGCCAAGGGAGTCGGCCAGGGTTTTCGGGGCGCGCAATGTTCGACGGTTCTTCTGGAACAAAATCACCAGGCTGTGAGATTGGGGTCCCCGTCCGGCGTCCGGTGATGCTAGCAGCGATGAACCCCAGAAGGGCAGATTCTTTGAAGCAATGGGCAGCCCATACCGGCGACCGCGAAATCCGGCCACTGGCGGCGGGTTCACCAGTCAAGAAGGCGGTGGATGCAACAACGAAAAGTTGGCCCGCCGTAATTGCTGATGACCGTCGTCGGCTTCGGTGGCTGAGTCAGTAACAGAAGTGTTTAGATTGTTTGAATCCGAGGCCAACGGCGAGTGGGCTCTCAAAACGACGATCTCCCACCAACAACGCACGGAATTATGCGATGGTCGGTCGTCAATGGTCACGACTAGACTTCCTGCTCCGTTCTCCTTTATGCGGCGAAAGAAGATAACCATCTGTGATCCGTACGGATACTCCCCCAGGGTTCTTGGTTGATGTTTTGCGGAGGAGGCACGCTGCAAAACGGCCGCGGTCTGACAGGGCTCTTGTCTGACAGTTGTTGTTGAACGGGGCCGGAGGCGGACCAGGGGACTGAGACTGGAGACGCGAGCCAGAAGCGGGAAGAGAAAAGATCAGACGAAAGAAGCACGACGTATCCGCAAAGTGAGGGCCATGGGGCCAGAGAGGCGTGGAAGGCAGGGGGAACCTCAACGAAGGCTCTCTCAGACTCTCACCCCTCCCTTTCCCTTCCTCCAGGCTCCATGTCTGATGATTCTGCCCTGGTTCCACGAGAGAGCCTTAAGCCCTGAGCCATGAGATGCTGCGGTAGTGGCTCTCTTCCTAACCCGACAAGGAAATCCATCGACGATCTTTCGCCAGACCGAATTCGGCCAAGTTCCAAGCATAATGTCCAATGAGAGCGATTTGACTTTGACAGATCCCTGCTCTTCTTCTCGAGGCTGGTTGGCCGAGCCGCAGCGTCCCTGAGAAGTTGCAAGGTATTAACACCAACACTCAGGGGTAAAAGCGGATCCTGCTGAAGACAACCTGGAGCCCTGACACCGACTAGTTCCCAGGGACAGTCCGCATTCCTCAATAGGTACTGTGCTGACTTTCTCGCACTTCCTGCACCCCTTCAACAAGTCCAATTCGGGAAAACGGAGCCGAACCGTCATGCATCACCGACTCAATGCCGTCTCTCCCCTTTGCTCCACGACTTTGCTTCAATGTCCCTACTGCATTACGGTTTCGCTGAAGTGGCGCTGACGGCGGATTCATCTCGTTCGAGCAAAGAAACTTGTGGACTTGGAGAGCTGTTTCTCTCGTTTTCATGCAGGATAACGTCAAACTTATGCCTTGTCGTTCGGAACACTGGTCGCGTCCTTGAAACGGAGTCACTTGGTTGGTTAGAGAACAGCAGCATATCCAATGAGACCCTCGTCAACCTTCGGGGGGCTTTGTCTTTTGTGAACCACCTAGCCGGGATGAGGCCCGCCAATGCCATGAAAGCAAGTGCAAGTGCAAAGGTAAACGCAGACAAAAGGTGTTATTTAACCTTGAACTTTGGATGGACGAAGGATCCCATTGCTATTTCGGGCACCCTGGTGGTGTATGGCAGATTTGTAGCCGCCTTCGCGGAGTCCGCCTGTCTTAGTGATACGCCGACGCGTGCGCGAGCATGGGACATTCCGGTCGCTTGAGCACCATTCGACGGCGCCACGCCTTCGAGGAACGATGCCGGCGGCAGCAAGCGCCAACGAGCGCTTGGGCGGAACATTTCGTCTGAACTTTTTGTCATCTGACATTGGCAGCGCATGTTCATTGTCATCGGCCGTGATCAGACCGGAACGTCTGAGCATATTAAGAGTCAAAGCTCCGGCAGTCGCGCAACCGCAGCCCATTAACCAGCTATTCTGCTGCCGAACTTCGCGGATGCGCTTTTCGCGAGTGCAAAATATTTGTCCCCCGTCCCTCGCCGATGGAGCGTCTCCACCTATCTCGAATGGGTCGCCGTGGGACGGCCGGACGGCTTGGATGTAGCTGACCGACCGATCAAAGGTAGTTAGCGCTGCGTCACAGTGTCTTCGGCGCATCTGGCACTTGGGCCATGGGATGGGTGTTCTGGCTGCATAACGCTTCTGCAGGTACGAGGTAATACAACTTGCGTCTCCCAGAAACAAGGCCGAAGAGAAAGGCTCCCGGGGAGTCGATGATGGTAAGTTGGAGCCCTTGGTCGAGCAACGGAGGGAGGATGGATGCGAATTCCAAAGACCGTCTCGAGCTCGAAGGTAAGAACGGCGAAACACGACCAGTCGTGGGCGCTGTGCTGGATGGTATTGGTTCGCAAGATGCATACCGGAACGCTGCAAAGTGTGTAAAAAGACCCTCCGTCGTACGAAGCGATCTTTGTGATACCCTGGTGTCTTGTCTGAGACATCCCTTTGGTTCCCGGCACTCCCACAGGAATGGCCAGGCGATCGCCCCGACGCGTTGTTTTTTTAAAGGTACGACATTCGATGTCTGTTGCAGACGCGAGACAGGGCGTTGCGAGTTTGCCAAAGGGAGATGCCGAGCATGGAGCAAACTGATTGACCCCATACTTTTGCGCAGAGATGCGTGACGGCACCATCCCTCCGTATGACGGCCGAGGCTGGTGGTATGTAGTCGGGCGGGTTGAAGCCTCAGCTCAGCATGGGGAGGGCCCCTTTCTCGACATGTCATTCGTGGAAGTTGACGCCTGCTTATTCAGTGGTTCCAGAAGGCACCGACGTACCTTGGGTTATGGGCGGAAGCTCTCTGGAGCTGGTTTGGTCTTGATGGTCTGAGGAAGGGGACGACCTTCAGAGGCGTAAACCCCGTGCCATTGGCGTCCCCGGCGGGATGGTTTCGAAATGACAAGAATTTCCCCAAGAGCATCGACCATGTCACGAAGCCATCACTCAGTCGCTCAAATGAAGAACCGAGCGGGCGCAAAGACGACGTGGAGATGGGCGTCGAGATCTGGCCCGCGAACAAGTCGGCGAAGCAGTTTGGTGGCAAAGAGAATTGCGTAGTTCTAAGAGCCATGAACCGTCTGCCTGGGTGTGGATAGTGGGCACGCCGCTCGGAAAGCCGCTGCTGTGACCAGGGCAATGAGTAGATATCCAGCTGGCCCGAGCCTATTTTGTTCAAGCAGTCTGTTGAACGTTCGTCCCGGCCCAAGCCGTCAGCCAGACATTTCGTGATTAGGAGGTGCTAAGCCCAGCGAAGGAGGCTTCGCACTTGACTGAGTCGTCGGTTTTCTTGTGCTGAATCAGTCGAACTCAGTATGGCGGCCTTGACTAGGAAGACCTTGTCAGCCCTCGGCGATAGGCGCTAGCGCAAGGCGTATGGGTTTGAGTGAGGTTCAAAGTAGTCCAGTCTCCAGCTCGAATACGTGATGGATCCATTCCGAGCTGGAGGCTCACGAAGCCGGGACGGCGGCGCCTGAGCGGACGCTTGACCGCCAGTCGCACATTACCGGTTACAGCAGTCTGTGGATCAGCTATCGTCTGGCAGGTGTCTCTGTGCTGCGTGACTATTGCGTACAGCGGCAGGCGTCACCATACCAAGCGAGACCGACAATTTTTCGCCACGGATCGTCCTTGTTAAGAAGATGGAGAACGGAGCCTTGCAGATCCAAGCCTGAGGACGGATGATGAAGACGAACGGTGTGTGTGGGCAGAAGGACAGCCAGGCACCGCATGCTCCTGCTGCTGCATACGTGAGGTCAGGCGGCGCAACGATGCACGACAGGAGCTGCCTGAATCGATGACTGCATGTCCTGGACAATGATTGACAGCCTCGGTTCGATTCGACGAAAGCTTGTGTGCTATTTCGAGAGGTGCCTGGTTGTCATGGCGGCTTTGTATGGTTTCGTTTGGAGTCGTTTGTGTCATGGCTTGTCAGGATGCAGTCGACAAGATCTGGCGGATCATTGTGTACCTGACACAACTTGTGTGAGGAGGACGCGTCTTGGGGGCGAGGGAAGGCGTGAAAGTCGGGCGAGGAGGGCGAGGAGGGGGAGCATGGATCGCCAGGGACAGGGACAGGACCGGACGAAAGAGACGTCAGGTACGACACAGTGTGGAAGCGAAGACTCGAAGACGAGCCAGTAGCCAGCGTCAAGCGATACGACGCTGGATATGCGGTGGTGGTGGTAGTAGGCTGTCGCGGTGCATATGCGGCTTGTCCCAGTCGCGAGTGGTGCATTGTGAATGCAGTGCAGTGCAGTGCTATGATGCCACCGCGATCGACTGGCGCCAGCAAAAGACGCCCTCGACCTGCAGTATGATGCAGGTTGACAAGACGTTGTTGAAAGTTCACGCCGCAACCGCATGGGGACTTAAAGACTTGGAGAGAGAAAGAGAGAGAGAGAGAGAGAAAGCGTGTGATTGAGTGCGAATCAGACCTGAGGTTCCAATTGGGAAAAGACTGGACGAACGACGTGAGCAGGGGTCAGGGAGCGACGTTTCTAAAGTGGGACCCCTTCAACGTACCTTCCTCCGTACGGGTACCTTGCAGCTAGCCGGTGTCTTTTACTTTTGGTGCAAGTGCGACTGGCAAGTGCAACGGAAGGTGGAGCTGACGCGTACTGTGCACAAACCGTTGCGGGTCTTTCTTAGTTGAGAATTCGAGGCATCTTTGCTGGACAGTACGTATCCCTGCTACCGTCTCGCGGACGTGAGACTGACGGGATAGTTTGAGCCGACTAGGCCGGCCGTTTAGGCCGCACATGACGAGTCTGGCTCCAGGATATCTTGGCTCCAAGGCAAGGTTACCTAAGCACAAAAAGCGTGCAAGGTGTTGCAAGCCCAGAAGGGCAAACGGATGGAAAGTGCGGGAAGGGATGGAGTAGGAGGGACGCGATACATTGGCGGGATAAGGTGTCATGATAACGCATAACAAAACACATTATAGCACCCTCCCCTACCTTTATGTCGGGACGAGGTAACGGTTGGGATTCGGGGCCTTATAGACTTTGGACGATCTTGACGTCGGAGGATTGAAGGATGCCCCGTGGAAGGAAGTCTGAGTGGACTGGCTGGTCTTGATTCTCGAACGTGAGCAAATCCGTATCGCTACCTGTCAGGTCTCTGTACGGAGTAAAGTGCGGATGTCTGTGAGAGCTACGTACGGATACGCAGGTACGGAAACAAGCCCCTGTTCAAACAGCACCGATAAGACGGTCGTGGCTTTGCGGCTGCGAGTCTTTTGGCGTTGTTTTGTACCTTGAGGCTACATCTTTTGCATGACAACAGCCCCGAAGCGAGTGATTGAAAAACGAGTGACCTGCCAACTAACTTGCTTTGTAGTTGCCCGTGTTGCGTACAATGGCAAGAGTTCAAAATCCAGAGTCCACTGCTCGTTGTCCTCTGGACCCAAACGTGTTTCCATGCCTTCCATCCATCCCCTTTCTTGAGCTGCCGTCTGAGGAGTCTGCTGGTGTGCCGAGTACGTACCTTGTCGGCTACCCCTGTGCCTGAGGACCCCCGCCCACGCATCTGTGCTACCTTAGGTAGGTAGGTTCATGCTTGCTCCGTTCCAGGCCCACACAGTCTCATCAGCCACAACCACAGCCAGATGTGTACGTACCTGGGTAGACGTGGACTTTCCTATCCAAGTCATGCTTGAACCTCCCACGACCTTGGACCTTCCGTTCATCGTCCCACCGTCCGGCTCTTATGCCTCCCTTTCCCGGCAGAATGCCAGAATCGACAGGACCAAGCCTCGAGGCCGAGCCTTCCAGGGCGATCAACAACGGAGCGAGGATGCGGATGGTGGAGGAGCGACCACTGACAGCCATACTCCGTGAGGAAGATCCGCACTCGCCTCCACAGATGTTGATGCAGTGCGCATCAGACACCGCGCCGCGATTTTCTCTTACGGCCCCCAAAAAGGGTGGAGACTTTGTTGGATGTCTCCCCTCACTCGCAAGTTACCGCGCAAGGTACGGCCATTTTGGCGGAAAGCGCGACACATTCTTTGAGTATCTTGTTCTTGCTTCAGTCCCCGGCCGTGGCTAATGGCTTGCGACCCACGGCGTCTGGTTTTGGACCAGAGTCACAAGACGGTGAGGACCAAAAGGATAGGCGACACTATTTGTACCGAGTATCCATACCAAGCAGCGATCCAGAGACTACCAGTTACCTCATGCTTATATATCATCTCTCGAGCCGCAAAACACGTGGTAGTGTCTGTCTACACAGCAGACGGATACTCTATAGTTGATACTAGCCACTAGCTAGGCATCGGGCACGAGGCCGGAAAGGATGGACATCCTTTGCTGAGAGCCTGAGGATTCGTACTGCGTAAGTACGAGTATCTAGGCATAATGCTGATTGTTTATCGGCGTCCACGTCCTCGACGGATGCCGCGTGAATCGATTCAATGCGTGCATCGGGCGCGACGCCGTGAACCCAACAAGACTACAAGAGAGAGGGGGGCCCTCAGGCACTTGCCGGTCTCCCTTTTGGCCTCTCACTTGCTGGGATAGGCCTCCCTTTTGTCGTGTGTGGTCTCTCTTCGGCCGCTGCATGTTTCTGCTCCCCCACCTTTCTCTCGATGACCACTGGGCACAAGAGGAGTAGTCCAGCATCAACAGGGCAAGGAACTGCAGCAACGAGCAGGGCCATGATCCATGGCGGGATGCGATGGTGTACCTCCTATCAGCAGCCCCGATGAACCAACGGCGGCGCGCGGCGTTGCGGCGGTGTGTGGTCACTTTGGTGTGGGATAGCGGAGAGAGAACGAGACTGGTCTGGCTGGTGGTGGTTTGGCTGGTCTGGTCTGGACTTGGATTGGGGGATACGGATGCTTGAGGTGAGGCGCAGGACGCAGGAACAGGTCGACAACGCACACTCGCATGCAAAGACTCCGTTCACACGGTGCATCAGAGCCAGCCACAGACAGTCTAGTACCTTACCTTGCGTTACGCCCAGGAACAAGATGGGAGAGGATGGGACGGATGGAGGAGCAAATCAAGTGCAGCATGCAGCTACGCAGCTGAGGTATACGAGAGAGGAAGAGACCAAGTGGAAGCGAGAGAGAAGGTCAGAAAAGGCTAAACGGGGGGCACAAGCCGCTAAAGCCAGTTGGGGCAAGGTTTACCAGCTTGGGACACGTTCCGTTCATCGGCGGCAGGTACGAACGGTAAAGTGGCTTTTATCAACCAATGAAAGAAGGCACGTACCTGGCACTACCCCTGTCTATCCAGTCATTGTGGCCACTGGTCGCTGGTGGTGTCGCCCATACGTCCAGCCCCGGTCCTCGTCTTTGAAGTTCGTCCCCCGTCAACGTCCGTCGTCCACCAGTCTGGCACCTCTGGGTGTGTGTGTCAATGGCGGCTTTTCTTGCTTGCACACAATTTTTCTCGTGCCTGCCCCATCCACAGTCCACACCCATTCGCGCTGTGGACACTGAACACTGCACTTGCCGTCGAGAGGAGAGAAAGAGAGAGAGGGACGGGAAAGAGAAAGAACTGACCTAAACCCTGCTTGCCAAAAAGGGGCGGGGGAAAGAGAGAGGCTACGAGAGTACCTTCCTTACCTTACCTACGGAAGGTACGTTCATAAGGTGCGTATCCTTTGCTTGAAGCATATGTTTTTGATGTACCAGACACAACCTGGGACCTGAACATCTGTCTCCTTGCTC